TTAGTCATTTTCCTACAGTGCACCTTGCATGTGTTGTACAGAATTGGTCCAAAGTCAGAGTTGGAAATGTCTTGAAAAAAATGTGTCTTTTTCCAAAAAAATTGTATACATGCAAATTGTATAATATCCAAGGTACACATTTCTAGTAATTGTGCAGTTAATTCTCATATTGTATTTTCAGATATATATTCAGAATATTTGTCCTCTCCCCAAATTTGTCACTACCGAAACACAGTAATAATAATTTAATTAGAAGGGTTATATTGACCTATTAAGATTGTGCTTACATCTGCATTGTAAATATATTTTTTGCTATTTTATAAATTTTTTTCAGAGGTAAATCAATAACAATTACATTTTTAACAATATTTCAAGTGTAATTTATGAGATTTGTTGTATTTTTAATCCAATTCTTTCTTTGTAAAAGGCAAAAAGTTGATCATACTGATTTCAAAGTTAAGGATTCATTAGTTTGAATATGCATTGAACCAAAAACTGTCATAACATCTTAGTTGATAATTCAGTATACTTTAGTATATGTTTATGTTTCGGTAGTGACTGCACATTTTCGGTAGTGACAGTAATACAATAATTGGTAGCGACTACATCACATTACAAAATTTTAACTCGCATACTAAAACACTACTAAAACATACTAAAATACAAAAAAAAATGCATAACTGTACTATAATTTTGTTTATTTCCCCCAAATATGAGGATTGTGTATTCCCTTTTGTCACTACCAAAAAAATGATGACATGTTTCGGTCGTGACCGTTTCGGTAGTGACAATTCTATGGGATAGCTCCCCAAAAAAACAGATACTTAGATACCTTTGAACCTTGCTCAAAGATGCTAATCAGCACATGGTTAGCTAGCACAGTTGTGAACAGTGGTACACATATAAAAACTAAACGTTATGGAATAACTCCCAAAAAAGTGTGCTTAATTGCAGAAAAAAAAGGTGTTTGGTAGTGACGTTCCTTAAAGTTACACACAGATTTTTCAAATTTTTTAACACATTTAACTCAAAATGATGTCACCTATCTACTCACACCTTGTATATATGAGAGAGGGGGACACAAGAATATTTCCCGATCATAAATTTAGGGGTGTAGTTAAAATCAGTCTCAGCCAATGGATTAAAACATACACTTCAGTAGTGACATGAAAAATGTGGGACACATTTGTTTTTTACATAAAGTTTCATGATTTACAAAGAAAATATAAAATAAATATTTTTTTTACTAAAGAATTAAAAAATATACTTTAAAAAACAACAATGGAACAAAAATTATTCCAATATAATTTTCACAAGTTTAAATTTAGGCGTTAGGGTTCGGGACAGCACTTCCCAATCGAAAGTACCCGATAAATGATGATTTTATATATTACGCTTACTAATATTTTAAATAGTATTGTGGGTTTCAATAGATAATAGTAGGATCTTAATAAACATCTAAGATTTGAATACTTGCTTTTTAATGCTTTAAAAAAAAATTTGGGGGACAGCAGTTTGCACCAATTCTATAGAATGGCCCATTTAAATATAAGAATGTTTTCAGGGACTGGTAGGTTTGCTGTATTTGGACGATAGTATATTAAGTAATTTTATAGTCTTATATAAAAGATCTTGTTTTTGTGGGGTCAGATTTAAGGACCCCACGAATTCAAACTTTCCTAATTTTCACATCTTTGCGTGGTCTTTTGCTCCTCACAAAGTAGTAAAAACAAGTTCACACACAAACACACACACTCCGACCACTGGTTGAGTACCAGTGCTCTAGCATTTGTACTAACTTCAATTTTGCACTTTTCTAGATGTCAATGCATACTATAATATCCATAATAACATGCATGTGTTTTTGATAGTGGTCTATTTTCACAAATAAACTGAGGATCACCACATGGTGGAGCAAGTGTCCCACTGTAGTTGTTAGCTTGCGCTTTAAAACTGTGCATCATTCTATTCTATTCTATTCTGTTCTGTTCTATTCTATTCTATTCTATTCTATTCTATTCTATTGTTATACAATCAGTGATGAACAAGGATATTAAACAGTTTTAATACACTCAACAGTAGAGTAACCGACTTCAACTGCTGTGACAGAATCTAATCAATTACTTACAAATAATGCTAAAAAGGTAGATATAATGCATACAACAGTTTGCAGAAGCTAAAGATTATGGTCTATAAAGTTTTGAATATGGATTTTTTTTTTTTTACAAAAACACAGTTCAGGAGGCCTTTATTATATCCCCAGAGCCATGTGGAGCACTTGTTTTTATGATGGATGGACTTCTATTATTAGACTTCTATTGGACTGCTGAATATCAACACCCATTCACTGCTATTATAAAGCTTGGAAGAGCCAGGACATTTTTTTATATAACTCTGAACGAATATTTACACCTAGGATGGCTTGAGGATAAATCATGGGGTAATTTTAATTTTTGAGGGAACTATCCCTTTAAGCAGACAGTGTACTTATACTCTAATTACTGGTAGTTCATATCAGTATCATATTTGCAGTTTTCTTTATAGTGGTTACATCCACTGTATCCATCACTTCTAAGAAACACAAAATCATACAAATAAATAATTTTTTACTCTACATGTAAAATGAAGGTCAGTCATTAACGAATGAGTCAATCAAAAAAAAAAAAAAATCTATCTAAAAAAGTTCTCCAAAGCAGAACTGTGCAGTCTACACAGCACACAAAGATTTTAAAATGACCTCCAGAATATGTTGTGACAAAGAAAAAGCTTTCTATTGGTTCATAAGTCATCCTGCCACTGTTTAGCATTTTATATCACATTTTACCATTTTTATTTTGAAAAATGAAAAAAGTCGGGTTGTTACCCAGAGTCAACACCATAAAGGGTTATTAAGTGATTATTAAGTGAATTCTACGTATCTTTTGTATGTCACAAACACACATGCTCCAGTTTGTGTTGCATCAACTCAGGCACAACCTAAGTACACAAACAAGTCTTTGTATGCATATGCTGACCTTTCTCTATCAAAGCCTCAGATATCTAATCGGTTCATCAGTGAAGGAGACACTGTCTTTGCCGACAGTGGCCAAACAAAACATGAGCTTGCCTGCATGCATTAGCACAATGCCAATCTATGGATGACGTCTAGACGTCTGGCAGTGCAAGACACAGCTTGTTTAAGTCAAACTCCTTGTGTATTTGTGACAGTAATGCATTTGTCACTGTAAGCTTCAATGGGCATCCATGCCACTGCAAACACTCACAGACAAATAAATAAATAATGCTCAGATCGTACCAACAATAATCCAGGACAGAAACATGACTGTATGTTTACCAATGTACAAGTAGAAATTCCTTTGTGTTCTATTTACATGCATTTAGGTCACACTGTGATCTGTGCTATGAATGCCCAAGGTTACAGTAAATGTTGTTTATTTGTGGAGGAAATCAAGATATCCAGTTGAAGTGTTGTAAGTGGACTCTGCCCCTCCATGCTGGCTGGATGACGGGAGAGGTGTGTCTGGTGGAGTCTAACAGAAAGTGTATAATAATGCTGAACCAGCCACTTAGTGTAAACTAGTACACTAAGTAGTAGTTTTCTTCATGTGAAAACAGCTGCTCACCCATGCAAATCAAAGCTCAACATAACTGATGACATTAAATTATGTACTCTAAACATATACAGTCTAAGTGAATGTGATGTGTTAAAATTTCAAAAGTACTAATAATAGCATTTAAAGAATCTTTTTAATACATTTGTTATTAGTTATTTTATAAAATAAACGTTATTTTTCTAAATCCCCATGGAATTTGGTCAGCAAAAACTAGTCAACAAAAGCACCATTGTCCTTGATCTGAGCAATCGATCACCTTTCCACAGTCACAGACCATCTAAATCAGAAAAAATAGCTCATGTAACCCAACACAAGCATGACTCTATTTAATGCTTAGTGTTTCCTATGTTGCTATTTTTATTCACAAGCACTTAAAGAAACAGTTCACTCAAAAATGAAAATTCTGTCATAATTTACTCATCCCCATGTCATTCCAAACCTGTACTATATTACTTTTTTCTTCTGTGAAACACAAAAAGGAGATATTTTAAATAATGTACTTGTTGCACTTTTCCATGCAATTACAATTAAATTGAGTTGAGACATTATTATCTTATTATTTTTGGTTGATTCAACTTTTCACATATAAACATATCCTGTGGCTTGAGACCTGGTCTATTATGATACTTTGATGGAGCTGTTCCATATATTGAAGCTTGAAAGGCTCAGTCCACATTCATTAAAATCACTTTCTCAAGTCATAACTTTTCTACTGAATATACCATGACAAAACTGTTTCTTTTTTTCCTTGTTTCTTTTTGGTGTATAAAGTAAATTGCAAAAAAAATAAAAAATGTAATATAAAATGTTTTACAACATAAAATATTGAAAAAAAAAACGGAAAGGGGATGCTGCCATATGTATAAGACAACTATCCCCGTACACCCTCAGTTCAAAGTTCACATCCCAATCTGAACTAACTGTGGCGGCACAAAGGTCATAATTTTATAGTGCCTAATTAAAAATATGAAAAAAACCCCACTTTAAACTTTTCTGCCACTTTTTTTAAAAAGCCATTATTTAATGTGATATTAAATAAAGTAAACTAAAATTAATCAGTCACTGATCATCTCTGAATTATTTTGACAAATGAACTAAATTCAAAAATCGGGTTCATTTTCTGAAATACTATTATTTAAAGCTAACAGCTGATACTGAGCTAAATGCTAAATGTTATAATACCCACTGAATACACCATGACTCTGTGATTTCTGTGGAGATCCATTTGTATGGAGACTCGGTATCAGTAGGTTCAAAGCACAACATCATGTGACAGCAGGCTGACGTGACAGTGGGGGGAGCGGCACTGACAGCATGGCACTGGATGATGGACTTTGATTTTTTTTTTCTTTGGATTATTCAACTACACACACACACACACACACACATATATATAGCCAGAGCCTGTCCTCACTAATGCTTACTGGACTAAGAAATAACTGTGGAACTTGAAGGTAATTTAAGCTTGACGGACAATAATAAATTACTAAAATACTACAACAAATTGCTCAGTGAAAGTATTGTCTAAATAAATATGCAATGCTTTAGGATATGTAAATGTAAATAATAATAATTTTTTCTCTCTCTTTTTTTTTAGCAAACAACTGTGAAAATGAAATTGTATCTGGTACTTGCCTTTGTGGCATTCACAGGTAAATCATATATGGCCAAGAAGCTAAAAAAAAAATATATATATATTTATCAATTAAAATAATATTAGATCTATGCCAAGACCTGCACTGAATTTTAGTCATTTAAATATACTGAGAAACTACAAATATGACAAAATGCACATACTGCAATATTTAGCTGTTTGAGCAGATTTGGAAACTGACTGGCAGACTTAAACTTAATTATTTGTATTTTTACCAGGCTGCCAAGCCAACCTGTTTTATGCGGATGAGCCCAAGCCACAGCTGGAGCAGCTGACTGATGCTTTCTGGAGCTATGTTTCTCAGGCCACACGCACCGCAGAGGACACACTGAAAATTATCAGAGAATCTCAACTTGGTCAGGAAGTCAAGTAAGTAATGTTTAGAAATCACAGTCTGTGTTTGAAATACTAAAAGTTTTAATTGCATTAATGCAAATACACATTTCACCTTTTCACATTGCAGTACCAGACTGACCCAGAGTGCCGATATGGCCAGCGAATATGCCGTCACCCTCAAGAAACAGATAGATCCTCTGACAGAAGAGCTGATGACCAAAATCACCAAGGAGGCTGAAGTGTTGAGAGAGCGTCTGGACCAGGACCTGATCAGCGTGAGAGACAAACTGGAGCCCTATGCTGACAACCTCAAGAGCCAGATCCAGCAGAGAGTGGAGCAGCTCAGGACGGCCATGGCTCCATATGCTGACTCCCTGGATTCTGAGACCCTGAAGGCCACTCTGCTCCAGAAGAGCGAGGAGCTGAGAGGAAACCTGGAGCAGAGCGTGAAGGAGCTGCAGGCTCAGCTGGAGCCCTACACTGCTGAGATCAAGGAGAAAGTGGACCAGCGTCTGCAGGAGTTCCAGAAGACCGTGACCCCTCTGGCTGAGGATCTTCAGGCCCAGATCAGAGAGAGAGCCCAGATGGTCCAGCAGAGTCTCACACCCTACGCTGAAGACCTGAAAGAAAAGCTGGATCCCTACGCACAGGACCTGAAGGCCCAACTCACCTCCCTGTATGAGTCCTTCGCCAAGAGAAATTAGATGCTTCAAAGACCTCTTTTGTCACTAACAGAACAGTTTTTCCTTCCAACGTGACTCTAAAATCCCATATCTCTCCAATAACCATGACCTAAATGAAACTACTAGGCAACAACAATATCTTTGGTCTTACATGTAGACCAAACACTAATATAGAGAAAAAGAGTGATTCTTTTTGCTGAAATCCTGTTGTTTACACTTTAACCATTCATACAGATGCAGAAATGTTGCTCTTTTCTAGCTGAAGTGTATTTATTTCAATTTAGCAAGTCTTTATTATGTCTGACAGAAAATGTTGTTTCTTGCTAATGCCAAGTGTATCGTTTGTCTTATTTATGCAACAATAAAACATCTGCCATTTATTAACACAATGTTTCTAACTATTTTACTTGTCCAATTGTGTCCATGCAGCACAACTATAATTTCATATACTTATAACTTATAAAGCATATTATTGCTCTTTTGTTGGTTTTGATTGCTTCTATTTTCCTCATTTGTAAGTCGCTTTGGATAAAAGCATCTGCTAAATGACTAAATGTAAATGTATATACTTCAAAATATTACATTTAAGTAGCCCTGAAAATGCACAAGGCCAAGTTGACATACTTTTTAATAAAATCACCAGACAAAATATGTTATAATTTCTATAAAAATAGGGTCTAGTTATCTAACCATGAGAAGTGCTTTTAATAATAATAAAAGAGTGACTGTATGATTTGAAAGGTTGAAATGTGGCATTTGATACCAAATCTAATACACAGACAGAAATACACAATATTTCTAAAAAGTCTGTAAGTGTGTAAAAAAATCTTTAAATAAAGAAACTGACAAATCATGCAGAAATGATAAAGGACATCTCAACTGATTTCTTTTAACACATACTAAAGATTAGATAAGGTTAAGGACTTTCCAAAGGTGGACCTGTTCCAGTCTCTTCATGTTGAACTAACGACAGAACATGCATTAACATAATGTCTGTACTTCATTATCAGTGCTGACGCAGGTGTTTGCAGTAACTCATGGGCCTGGTGCTTTCAAGTGACGTCCAGACCTGCACATCTTGGGACAAAGAGTCTGTAGACACGAAGTATCTAGATATAAACATCCACTGGAGATATTAAAATATATTCCCAATGCTATATAAATACAGCTATGAAACAGCAATCACCACACTTACTCTCACTCCGGACAGGGTCAATTAAATCATACTGACAAAGGTAAGAAGAGAAATTCACTGTTTATTAGATCAAAATATATTGTAAAATATGTAAAATATGATTAAATTGTTTAAATGAAACAGATTTGTTGTTATTTTACAGGCGAAGCCAGAAAACCATGAAGGTTCTTGCGGTTCTTGCATTGGCTGTTTTTACAGGTTAGTTAGATATAACTGTAGAAATAACTTTAAAAATATAATATAATATAATATAATATAATATAATAATCCAAACAGGATATTAAATACATTTAAATTACATTAGTGTTCACAGTGGATGAAACATAATATATCATGCTCTTGATGTGTTCAGAAAGTTGACACACGAACACATGAACGCATGAATTTGTTTCACCTGATCTTAAAACACTTTTAATCTAGAATTGTGTGTAGACGCTTGAAAATAGTTTTGTAGGCAAATATTATGCACACATATTATGCCTATGTATGAATTCCTTGAAGGAAACATACCGGAACTCTTTCTACATTGTTTGAAGAAGCTAAATTATAAAAATACATGACTAAATGACTTTTGAATCATCTGATATGCTGTATCCCCAGGTTGCCAAGCCAATTTATCTAATGCAGAGAAGCCCAGTCCACATCTTGAACACTTAATAACTGCATTCTGGAACTACATTGCCAAAGCAGTACATCCCACTGACGAAACATCAAATGTGATAAGGACATCCCAGCTGGGACGGGAAGTCAAGTAAGCCAAATTTACCACCATTATTATTATAAGCATAATGAATTAGTAATATGTCCTGTTACCAGACATAAATTATACCTTTCTTTTCCACACTAGACTAACACAGACTCCTTCATCTGAAGATCAGATGACCAAAATCACCAAGGAGGCTGACGTGTTGAGGGAGCGTTTGGAAAAGGACATGAACATCATAAGAGACAAACTGGAGCCCTATGCTGATAACCTCAAGAGCCAGATTCAGGAGAGAGTGGAGCAGCTCAGGACGGCCATGGGTCCATATGCTGACTCCCTGGATTCTGAGACCCTGAAGGCCACTCTGCTCCAGAAGAGCGAGGAGCTGAGAGGAAACCTGGAGCAGAGCGTGAATGAGCTGCAGGCTCAGATGGAGCCCTACACTGCTGAACTCAAGGATAATGTGGGCCAATATCTGCAGGAAATGCAAAACTATTTTGCTGCATCACCTGAAGATCTCTAGGCCCATATTTAATCTGCAGAGTTACTTTAGTGATCTCTTTCCTCTTTCTATGTTACACTGTGATGCTTTTAGTTTTTTTCTTTTCTTGTTATTGCAACAATAAAACATCTGCCATCTATTATCATTTGTCACTGATACATAAGACTGCATGTCCAATTTAGAAAAACCTACGAGTTTAATAACTCTGTGCTTGCGCTATTTGTTATGCCAGACTTTCGATTTTCGAATTATGCACATTAATAAATCTATGATAAAAAGAACTGTTAATTTTAACACATCATATATTTGATTTGAGGAAGCACATTACGTTTTCTTGAGATCCTTTAATAATTTAGACTCTATCAATATTTTAGCTCAATTTGAAACATTTTCTACAATTGCTTCATTTGAGTTTGATTTTTCACTTCAGGCTTGATTTGTGTACTCATCTCCCATGATCTCAGTGTTTTGCTTCTGTGCAGGAATTCATAATAACATAAATTATGTAAAAATTAATTTAATAAATAAATAAAAGGAATACTAACCCATACGGCTTCACTAGGAGTGACAGTGCTCTCTAGTGGTGAAAAAAAATGCAGTTTCATTTATAATAAAGGCAAAAACCCTGATAATTGAGTCATACAAAGAAATAATGCACAACACAAAACTTAATGAGTACTGCCCTGGAGAACGACTGTGTAATAAAAACAACCAAAAAAAAATTTAATAACTGATTATATTCTTGTATACAATGTATGCTGTATTTCCTGCCAACTTTTTAGTTTTTCTTTTGGCAAGTTATTGCCAAAAATTTTTGTCAGTTAAATATTAACCAAGTTGTGTTTTTTCTTCTTCTTTGTAATACATTTTGATCTTGTTGGATCATTAAAAGCAAATATCCTCTCCTGACTTCACTTTTGGCCACTACTGTAGTTTATTATAAGTCAGCTAATGGTGAAATTGGAGGAGTTTAAAAAGCTAAATATTGTTAATGAATAATTAAACAGCTTTCTGCTCTTTCAGCCCTATTATTGGTCATGACAATTCCATGGGATACTTACAGGATCAGTCTCTGGAGTCTATATCCTTTGAAACTATTTATATATTACCTAATATATGGCAAATTATTATCATTGTTAATAAAGTTTACTCCTAGATTTAAGGCTGAAGGAAAAGCGTAAAGCTGCCTAAATCCAGCAGAAACAGAATTGAGGTTTTGAGTGACGTGTCAGATCTTATCAGGGCGTGTAGAACGTCTTTTATCATTTGCTGTTTTATTAGGTAAAATGTTCAAACTTGGGGCTCTGTCTGGTTTAAGTACCTAAGATGGAGTTTAAATAATTAGATTATTCAGGATGACTTTTTTTGGGTTTTAAGATTTTTATCAGATTTTTAATTAAATTATAGCTTAATTATATTTTTATATGTAGATTTCTTGTTTGTTTTTAGGCAGTGTGAAATTCTATTTTATTTTATTTTTTAATTATTTTAATGACATCTGTGTCATGTTAAGTGCTAACCCTAAAATAATTTACACAATTATTTTGACCCATTAAAAATTCCATCAAGAAATTAATTACTGCTTTCAAAGACAAAGTTCCACTCTTATCATTATCTGCACTGAATTTGAGAGTCTGTGGTGGTTGAAGGTACAGTCAGGACGTTGTGATGTGGAGTAGTGACAGCAAGGCACTACCCACTGGACTTTGGGCTTCCACAACGACAACCACCTCCCCATGCGATATAAATACAGATGTGAAACAGCCACCTTCACACGTGTTCTTCAGACAGGACAGCGTCAATTAAAACACACTGACACAGGTAAAAAAGACAGTCTTACTTTTCAGTCAATTCAAAACGCTGCATTTTAAACATAAATTTATGTAAAAGAGACATTGATTAAAAGTCTTTTACTTACAGATTAAAACAGAACACCATGAAGGTTCTTGTGGTGCTTGCACTTGCTGTATGTACAGGTAAAAATGTTTCTGGCTTGATACATTCACAGAGTGTACTAACAATACAATTTAATCATTCTGAAATGCTCCATCAACAGGTTGCCAGGCCAACCTCTTCTATTCTGATGAGCCCAAGCCACAGCTGGAGCAGCTGACCGATGCTTTCTGGAGCTATGTTGCGAAGGCAACACAAACCGCAGAGGAAACCGTCAAGATGATCAGGTCTTCCCAGCTGGGACAGGAAGTCAAGTAAGTCAAGAACATTTACTTGCAGGACACAGTTATTTCTTGCGCACTGAGAAGAAACTCAAATGTTCTTCTTCATATCACAGTACCAGACTGACCCAGAGTGCCGATATGGCCAGCGAATATGCCGTCACCCTCAAGAAACAGATGGATCCTCTGACTGAAGAGCTGATGACCAAAATCACCAAGGAGACTGAAGTGTTGAGAGAGCGTCTGGGCCAGGACCTGATCAGTGTGAGAGACAAACTGGAGCCCTATGCTGACAACCTCAAGAGCCAGATCCAGCAGAGAGTGGAGCAGCTCAGGACGGCCATGGGTCCATATGCTGACTCCCTGGATTCTGAGACCCTGAAGGCCACTCTGCTCCAGAAGAGCGAGGAGCTGAGAGGAAACCTGGAGCAGAGCGTGAAGGAGCTGCAGGCTCAGCTGGAGCCCTACACTGCTGAGATCAAGGAGAAAGTGGATCAACATCTGCAGGAGTTCCAGAAGACCGTGACCTCCCTGACTGAGGACCTCCAGGCCCAGATTAGAGAGAGAGCCCAGATGGTCCAGCAGAGTCTCACACCCTATGCTGAAGACCTGAAGGAAAAGCTGGATCCCTACGCACAGGACCTGCAGGCCCAGCTCACCTCCCTGTACGAGTCCTTCGTCAAGAGAAATTAGATGCTTCAAAGACCTCTTTTGTCACTAACAGAACTACAGAACTACTCATGAACTTCAAAATTTGACATATTTGATCTGTTGTCCTCCGTTTATTCATCCTACCATGCTCTACACTAAAGCCAAAAGCAAAACATTCGATAAAGTCTCATTAATTAAAATGTGCAATATCCAATGTCCTTTACATATGTAAATTCTCTTTTTTTCTGTTTAAAGGTGGATATTTATTTAGTAAAAATAAGAAACATTATTTTTGAGGAAAATGTGTGATATTCCTATATTCCTGTTTGTAAGTTTACAAATGCCACATTTGATCTCATTTTAATGAAGAATAAAATATTATTTATTAACAGAATGATGCTTTTTTTTTTAAAAGATTTATGTGAGACATACCCATATTAAGAAATCAAACAATCCATGATAAGAAAAATGTACACTACCGTTCAAAAGTTTGGAGTCAGTAAATTGTTTTCTTACTTTTTTTGAAAGTAATGAATACTTTTATTCAGCAAGGATGTGTTAAATGGATAAAGTGATAGTAAACACTAATATTGTTAGAAAAGATTTTCATTTTAAATAAATGCTGTTCTTTTTAACTTTTTATTCATAAAAGAATACAGAAAAAAGAATCAGTTTCCAAAAAAACAACAACAACAAAAAAAAACACGAAGCAGCATAACTGTTTCCAGCACTGATAATAAATCAGCATATTATAACGATTTCTGAAGGATCATGCGACACTGAAGACTGGAGTAATGATGCTGAAAATTCAGCCTTGTCACAGAAATAAATGATATTTTAAAGTATATTAAAACAGAAAACCAATATTAGAAATTGAAATAATATCTCACAATATTACAGTTTTTTTTCTATATTTTTGATCAAATAAATACAGCCTTGATGAGCACAAGAGACGCCATTAAAAAACATTAAAAATCTTACTGATCCCAAACTTTTCAACGGCAGTGTATATCAAACATTTTATTTTATTTTTTCGGTAGGCAATAACTGGCAACTGTGCCCTAAATTAAACACAACATTAAAGTTATTACTTAATAAGGGTTTAAAAAATCATAGTCCTCTGCTAATGTAAACAATAAATTGACCCTCAAATGTAAACATGAATACCATAATTATTTTTGTGATGATGATCAGAGACTGCCCTATATTTGTTCTTAAGTGACCATTGCTTTTAGCTACGCAGGAAACGTGATGATCTGTTGTGACAAAAAGTCCCGATCTTGGAAATTTTGTTATGGAATAATCATGACAGTCAGGCACTACCCACCGAACTTTGGGTTTTCATTGCGACAACCATTTCTCTGTGGTATATACGTAAATGGAGATATGCAGCCAATACCTCCACAATACAACTTCAGACTGGACAGCGTGCATTTAAACACACTGATAGGTAATTATCAGAAGGGACAAAAAATATTTAAATATATTTGTATTGTATTATTATTTATTTTATTTTATATTTAAATGTATTATTATTACTATTATATTAATTGTATATAATTTTAATCAATACACACTGGCCAAAATAATGGAAATAATGAAGATACTCCTGGTCATTGCATTGGTTGTGTGTACAGGTTAGACATATTACAAAAACAGATTAAGTAAATATTATCACAATGTTACTGAAAATATCTTTACGGTCGGTCACTATTCATATTACATATTTTGTGGATGGCAGAATATATGCCATGCTTTAAGCTAACAGAAATATTTGTAAAAAGCATAATAAAACATTATATTACTTGAACATATATCTGCAGGTTGCCAAGCCAACCTATTCTATGCAGATGAGCCTAAGCCACAGCTGGAGCAGTTGACTGATGCATTCAGGAGCTATTGTGAAAGAGCCAAGAGTAGGACTTCACAACTGGGGCAAGAAATCAAGTAAGTCGAGGAAACAGTTGCTATAGTAATAACTTCCTTCAGCATTTCTAGTGATGGACTAACAGAAAATGTTGATATGGCCAGCCAGTACACCACAAAACTAAAGGAACAGATGGATCCTCTGGCTAAAGATCTGATGACCAAAATCACCAAAGGTGCTGACATGCTGAGAGAGCGTATAGAGGTGGAAGTGAGCACTGTGAGATGCGCACTGAAGCCCTACATTGAATATGTCACCAGTCCATTTGAGAAGGGTGCGGAATACATAAGAGAATCCCTGGATTTTGATTCCAAAAGATAGAGCGGTCATGTTTTCATACAACACAAAACACTCAAACAGGCCAAAATGTACAGATTTCTGTCAATTAGAGCTAGAAGGTAAATATACGTGTAAAACATTTTAATATAGCCTTTGTATTTATTTTTGAATCATCTGCATTGTCAGTTGCATTGATTATCCTTTCATGTTATATACATAGAGTTGTAGAAAATTTGTATTTGTTTTAGAAAGTAATGACAAAATATTTTTTAAAGAGCTATTCATTTTCCTCACGCAACTATGAAACACTGTTGTTTCATTACAATGTCTTTTCTAAACTGTAGAAGATGTGCTATATATTCATATTTGCAAGCCCAAATAAATTTTATAAAAAAAAAACTAACACTTCCTTACTACAGTTTTTCTGAATTGCTAAAACACTAAACCCCAATCTCTGAACCAAATTCTCACTAGCTTAAACCAATTTGTCGAATAAAGCACTCTTTCTTCTAAACCTAAAACACGTTCAGGCAGTTAGGCTTTATTTGCAAATCTCATGCACTCTTTTTGCAAAACTCTGAACACATTCTCATTCACTTAAACACTTATCACACTGTGATGCATTTCTGCTGCAAAATGCTAAACACAAGCGGCAAAAGTTAAACACAACTAATGCACAGTTGTCATCGTTTACACACGATTCAAAATTGTTCACAATTGTTTCTAATGATGTGATCAAACCAACTGTACAAAATATGAGCCAGTTCAGAGGGCACAGGTGACTGAATGATGATACGAACAATAGATGGAAACAATCTGAGAAGGAGAGGAGGAAGAGTACATGTAAGAAGTGGAGGATGAGGAGAGAAAGAGTAAGGTTTAGAGAGTGTTATCAAGGCTGGATCTGTCAGACCAGAGGGTTTTTTCTCTTTGTCTAGCAGAAAAGACAACATTACTTGTGATGTGGACAAAGTCCTCAGGCCGGACTCAAGCGCAAAGACATGATGCTGAGACAGAAGGAATCTCTCATTGACCCCGATTTTACAATTGCACAACTTACAGTATTTGAGTGTACTGCAACGTGCTATTCATTTAGAGTTTTATTGAACCTTTTTGGCCTTTGCAGTTGAACTGCAGTATTTTTGCAGTATCCAAGTGCTGAATATATACAAACATTCAGTACTATTCAATATTCAGCACAATACTATTCTTGCAGTACATACAGTAGGCCTATACAATATATTCCCCTTACTCAGTTGCAATTACTATACTTTTATACAGAATTGCAAAATTGTTTACTCAATACAATATACTTTTTTCTGTAATGTTCTGGATGCTGTGTTCTCCATTTTTCTCTGTAGTGTCTAATGAATGCTCTGTAGTGTTTATTTTATTGACTCATGTGTGTTTGATCTGAGAGCACCGGTTGATTTTGAGTGCAAGTGAAATGGTTTTGCAGTGATTGTTTGATTATGATGGAAGAGTCAGAGGTTTTGTTAATTCAGTTTGAGTATTTGGATTTGTGTTTAAGGTTTTGAGAAAATGAGTGATGGTTTCAAGAAATGTGTTTTAGCAAGTCTAAAAAGAAAACTGAAAGATACTTAGAACATGACAATAAACATTAGGCACTTTCACTGATAAAATTGACCTATTTAGTAAAACTTACAGGCAGCATTAAGCAATCTTTGGATATATATATATATATATATATGACATCCATACATTCTTTCGTACATCCACTTTGAGGAATAAATTGTATATGGTAAATTATACATACAGTATTCAGACAAATAATATGTGTCTTCTGATGAGTTTACAAGTATTATGGCTTACTTTACTTATAATATTTGTTTTAGTGAACAAACACTATTTCTGAAATCAACTCCTTATTCTGTGCCACATCAGACTGATATAAGGTCTTTAATTAGCCAAAAAGGAATGAACCTTCACTTAACTAACTTCAAAGTTTATCCCTGAAAATCAACTCTAATTCTTGTCAAAATGACAAATGTTAACTACACCATGGAAATGAAGAGTATCACTTTTGTGCTCCCCTTTGCCTAAAAAAAGTAAGTTCCTTAAAAAAAAATTTTTTTTAAATGCTAAGAAGGTCAGACATTCATCAGCAGCAATAGTTTAGTTCTAGGTCTAGGCCATGAGAAATCAACGCCCACAGGGTGAGTCACATTACAAGAAGTGAAGGACACTCCTCCAGAAAATAATTACCCTCTGTTACACAATGTTAAATATATTGGAAAAAATAAATAAATAAAACTCAGATGAACACTTCTGTTATCAACGATTACATCCACTGGAGATCAACAGACACATTTATTTATTTTATCCAGAGTTTTAGGCTATACATTCAGGTGACAGCTGCTCTGAAGAGTCCGGAATGAAAAATAAGACTTGAGTAATGTTCCGCATACAAGTATTGTCAAAAGCGGTTACATAGTCATGCTGATAAATAGGTTACTTTTTTTTTTTACCTCTTAAAATCTTTTAAATTAGTTTTATTGATCTTATTTTAGGTACATCTGCGATAATTCAATTTCATTGTAATTTATTTCGAAAATGTTAGCCTGTTCTAATGTAGTCTCATGTAGCCAGACCTTCAGACTGACGGCAGGTGGTCTAGGAACCTTGGCCGCTTTGAATGGCCAAGGCCCGCCCAAGAGGCCATATGACTGACATCTAAAACAACCAATCACGTTTTATTTTGTGCCACGTCATGTTTAAGGGCGTGGAAATGTCCCCACAATAACAGACCAGTGTATAAAACTCTTGGACATATTTTAAAGAGTCTATGCCACGAATATTTCACATACTTTTGAAAATCCAGCTTGTAGTTGATCCTGATAAGCGCTCATCGTCACAGTTGTAAACACGACGGATTTCTTCTTCCATGAGGGGGTTTGGCATCACGGCATCTTTGTTTCCAGATGGAGCGCCAAAGAACGCGACACACACATCTCCCGGAAATCCTGTATAATTCAACCAATCCGATGACGACTTCAAAACCTGAAGTATTTCCAATTTTGTGCTCTGTATGCATCAGACGTTCAGCCAATGTATAACCTACATATCTATGCTCTAAACGTAAAAGTTCTTCTCAAACTCCTTTGTGAGCAGCCATCAGTTAAATTTAGGCT